ATGTTATCCCAGGCCCTGTGTAAAGCAGATATGCTGACTCATGTTATTATCCCAGGCCCTGTGTAAAGCAGATACGCTGACTCATGTTATTCCAGACCCTGTGTAAAGCAGATACGCTGACTCATGTTATCCCAGGCCCTGTGTAACACAGATATGCTGACTCATGCCTGCAATCTCAACAGGTGGGAGGATCAAAATTTCAGTATCACCTTTGCTACATAGCAAGTCTGAGGCATCCTAGACCATATAAGACTATCTAAAAGAGAAAGGAAAAAAAATATATAGCAGGGCTGGGCATGTAGCTTTGAGGTAGGGCACTTAACTTTCACAAGACACTGTGATCAGTCTTTAGCAACACACACAGAGAAGAGGAGAAGGGAGAGAAGAAATTATAGCAGAAAACTTCCTAGATATGGAGAGAGAATATTAAGAAAGTAGGAGATCACAAATCAGATTCAGTCCAAATTTAAATATCAAAAGACACGTAATTGATGTGGGATTCCCCTCTGTATGCTGCGAATACCAGTTGGTTAATAAAGAAACTGGCTTGGGCTGATAGGGTAGAACAGAGCTAGGTGGGGAAAGCTGAATGCTGGGAGAAAGAAGGGTAGAGTGAGAGAGAAGCCATGTAGGCCTGCCTGAGACAGACGCTGTACACAACTTTGCCGGTTAGCCACTGCCATGTGGTGATACACAGATTAATGGAGATGGGTTAAATTAATATGTAAGAGCTAGCCAATAAGAAGCTAGAGCTAATAGGCCACACAGTGATTTAATTAATATGATTTCTGTGTGATTATTTGAGAGTCTGGGTGGCAAATAAACAAACGGCCTCTTACTACACATAATCTAATTGTCAAAAGACAAAATATCTTAAAAGAAGTAAGTAACATAAAGTGGACTCTTAATATACCTCAGTGAACTTCAACAGAAACCTTATAAGCCAGGGAATAAGGTAATAGATTAGAATGGTTTAAAAAAAACAAAAACCTGCCAATCAAGAAAAGCTGTCTTACAAAAATGGGGCAATAGTAAGAGCTAAAAAAGCTGAAGAATTTACCACAGCCAAGCCTGCCTTACAAGAAGTGCTAGGGGAGTCTTTATAAACAGCAGAAAAGGACATCAGTGAGTAACTTAAATGTCTGAAGGTATACACTTCACTATACAACTCACAAATACAGTATACAGTCAAATTTAGGATTTCTCTATGATGTATAGTGAGCTATAAGTATAAGTTAATTAGGTCTAGTATGAAGGATAAAAGACAAAACTACTAAAGTAATGGTAACTATAATAATTATGTGGATAATAAAATATAAATTGTGACATCAGAAATTTAAAATTTAGGAAGGGGAAAAGTTAAAATATGAAGATTTTTTAAAGCTGGGCAGTGGTGGCGTATGCCTTTAAGGCAGAGACAGGAGAGTCCGAGGCCACTGTGGTCTACAGAGTGAGTTCTAGGACAGCCAGGGATACACAGAGAAACCCCGTCTACAAAATTAAACAAACAAAATGATTTTTTTTTTGCTTCCTTCTATGTGGTCAAACTGAGTTTTTAATCTGTTTAACATAAGCTATTATAATTGTACTACATTCTTGGTAGTTTCATAGTAGCCATAGAGCAAAAAAAAAAATCTTAATTAATACACTAAAATAAAATACATGAAGTTAGAATATACTAGAGAAAAGTCACTACCCCAAAGAAAGGGAATACTAGAAGAAAAGTATATACAAAACTACTAAAAGGCTTAAAATATAGTAACAAGTACTTATTTATCAGTGGTTATCTTGAATGTAAATTGATTAACCTCTCCAATTAAAAAGCACAGAATAGCTAAATGATTATAAAACAAAAGTGGGAATTGTATGTTACCTCCAGCTGAGACAGTCTGTGGACATGGATCCTGAAAGGGGAAGCTGCACTGAGGTCAGCCAGAATTATGAGAAGAGACAAAGATGCTCATTACATAATAATAAACAGGGCAATTCAACAGTCACAAATACATGTACCAAACAGACTATAATGTACCTACTTTTAGCAATTGTCAGACTATCCAGGAAAAAAAAAAAAAACAAAACCAGCAGATCTAAATTACAGTATAGACCAAATAAACCTAAAAGACATTTACAGAACAGTACACCCAACAGCTATAGAATACATATGTTCCTCACCGCACATGAACATTCTCCGGAACAGAGCATATGTTGACTCACAAAACAAGCTTTAACAATTTAAGACTGAAATGATTTTAAGTATCTTTCTGATCAGAATGGTGTAAAACTACAAATAAATAACAGAAAAATGTTAGAAATTCTACAGATACGCAGAAACTAAGGTTTATGCTACTGAATAAATAGTGCATTAATGAAAATAAAATGAAAACATAGCATATGAAAACCTATAGGGGACAGCAGAAGCCATCAAAACAGATGAGCTCAAGGAGCCCTAACGCTGCATCCTAAGAGAGATAAACAATAGACCTAAAAATAATGGACGGAAGGAGGTGATAAAGACCAGAGCAGAAACAATGAAATAGAGACAAATGCATACGATCAGTTAAATGAAGATGAATTACCACTGACAGTGATACAAAGAATCATAAGGAACTTTTCTGGTTGTTTCTGGTTTTTGAGACAGGGTTTCCCCATGCAACCTTGACTGTCCTGGAACTCTGTCTGTAGATCAGGCTAGCCTTGAACTCAGAGAACCACCCGTCTCTGCCTCCCGAGTGCTGGGATTAAAGACGTGCTCACCGCCTGGCCATAAGGAATTGTTATGAATAGTTACGTTCCAACAGATGAGATAAACTAGAAATACACAAATTCCTGGACACATATAGCTTATTGATAAAATGGCATCTCCAGTCATTGAGTGAAGGTAAATTATTTTCATAATTGATGCTAGAAAAATAATTGCTAAAATAATTGACTATGTACTTTGCATCATTCACAGAAATAAATTTTCAATTGATCAAAATAATAAACACAAAAACCAAAATATTACAAATGCTGAAAGAAAATGTATGAATTTATGTCCAGCATTTTGGAAAGGCTTTCTGTGATTTAAGGTGTAAGAAAAGATGGACAAATTGAGCCACACATCTGGCCGGGTGTAGTGGGACACGCATGTAATTCCAGCCACGTGTGGGAGCTTGCCCGAATACACAGTGTGAAGTAAACCTGTACAGCTTAGACTCTGTCTTGATCTACAGTTTCTTTTGGCTTGGGATGCTCAGTGGTAGAGCATCTACCCAGCATAAACATAGCCCTAGCATCAATCCCCAGTACTACCAAAAGAGGGAGGATGCTTTTTCTTTTTTCTCCTTTTGGTTAGCATGAAATAAAATATATGGACTATTGACACAATATTTGTTATAAAAGTCCTACGTAACTACAAAACTTTATTAACTATGCTTACAAAGCCCACTTTTGAGCCAGAACATTGAAAATGTCTTCTATGCCTTTTTGTACATAGCTCTGTAATTGTTTCCTAGACATATAAGTTGTCTATAAAATATTTTACAAAGGAACCTGAGTTAGAATTCCTTCCTTATTACTTAATAGTGCTATGGCATTTGTGAACCTTCATTGTCAATGAACTGCATGAAGTCCATATGGTAACTGATAAGGTTCTGTAAAGATGAAAGGACCTAGAGCAGTTATAGTGGTCAGTATACTTGGCATAGCATAAAACTTCAGTGCATAGAACTATTTATTGTAGAAGAGAGACAGCCCAAAGCGGCCACCAGTGTCTGAGGTGCTCCCTTGGATTGTTGAATCTGTGGACTATAGACCACAGAAAGAATTAGAGTGAGTCAGAAAGAAGCAGAGTTAGTTTATTAATTAATTACACATAGAGACTGCAGTACACTTTCTCAAGAAAGTTCTCAAAAGAGAACATCTAGGTGTCTGACAGTAGTTTTAGATCTATGGTATGGTGGCTCTTTAAATTATATTGCTAGGTTTTATGGATCAGAGGAGTACAAGACTGCTAAAGGAAGCTGACCAGCTATGCACATGAAAGTTTGTCCTGCGTACCCAGTACTTTATAGAAAAATAGAGTATTGTTAATCTAGTAAACTACTTATTAGGGAGAATTTTAGAAAAATTATACGTGCTTGTTTTTGTTTTTCTCTATGCCAAAATCCTCAGTCAAAGCACTAACTCAGCATCGTCTGTGTCCTGTATCACAAGAACTTATAGACTTAGTTTTCCTCAAGACTTAGTACTTAATGTCTTACTGTCTTCTGAAGTCACTCTGGCCCCCAAATAATTTCTTGCTAATCCTTTTATTTGTCTGTCTTAATTTCAGTGGTGGGGATGGGCTCCTGGTGTTTCCACATGACTCTGAAGTATGAAATGCAGGTGAGCAATGGCAAAAGAAGTGGTTGTTTCAGGTTTGAGACCCCTCCAAATTGAGAAAAGAACTCGTAACTAAAGGATAATAAGGAGGGGGGCTTGTCTTCTTGAAGTTTGCTTTTCCCTTCAGGTCAGAGGACTCAAATTGACTGTATAAAGAAGTAGTATGGCTTTCTATATGTGCCAATTCTGCGCAGACATATACAATTTTAAAACAGCATTAACTGTTACGTGGAGGTGTTCTAAAAAGTAGTAAGCCATTCACAAAAGCATATTCTTAGGTGCCTCCAGTCTTTGGTGTGTCCGTGGACCCTGTTTAGTTTCTGTCGTTGCTGTGAAGCATTTATCTAGATATTTTAACCTGTTGGCTTGTCATCTCTAATGAGACAGGGTTACACTACAGGTTAGTGTAGGCTGGCTATTCTGAAATTCAGACCTGGTTATTTTGTATGCCAACTACAGAGGACCCAGGTTTGGTTCTCAGCATTCACATGGCAGCTCACGGCCATCTGTAACTCCAGTTCCAGGGGATCCAACAACCCTTTCAAAACACACACTTGGTAGCACTACGTACATGGAACCAAAATGCTTACACAAATAAAATAAACGTTTTTAAAAAACTGACCAAAAAGATTAATAAGCAATAAGATGCAGACTGCTGAGCTAGTACGAGGAAAGGTGCTTGTCGCCGAGTCCAGCTGCCTGCGTTTATCCTCGTGATCCCCTCGGTGGAAGGAGAGAGCCAGCTTCCAGACATTGTCCTCCAGCTCCACGTGTGTGCAGTTACACGCATGCCCAGCAGTGCCCTCTCTCATAGGTAGGTGCTGGTCCAGGGTTTCAGGAGTGAAGCCCTTGCTGTGCAGGTGTGAGGACCTGGGTTTGAGTCCCAGAGTCCACGGAAAGGTGCGAAGAATGGTAGCTTACGCTTGCCATCCCAGGCAATAGGCAGATTCTGGTGCTTTGTGACTATCCGGTTCGTCCTAATCAACAAGCTCCAGGTAGGTCAGAAACAAGGTTTGAGTGCCTGTGGAAAACACTTAAAGGTTGACCACTTGCCTCCACGAGTGTGCACACATACACACGTGCACACATACAAATGAGTGAATATTCATATTTCTGTAAATGTAGTCTTTTTAAATAAGCCACAGACATCTGGAGTCCGTGCCTTTCTCCTGAGCTACAGATCTGTATGTCTCATTACCTGAAGGGCATTTCTAATATCTGTGTCCGGTCCCTGACATTGAGAATGCGGAAATGGTTCTTGCCGTTTTCTCTGCTTTCATAATCTCCTTCACCTGGACTACTGTATCCTGAATTGTTAGGCAAGAAGCTTGATGTATCATTTTTAGCTTCTTTCTCCTTACCTTTCTATAAAATTAATAACAAATATCTATTTATTTTACTTCCTAAATAGTTCTCAATTCTGCACATTTATAATTTATGATTTTCTTGGCCTGGACTCTGTTCTCTGGGATAATTCAGTCAGATGTATCATTTCGATTTCTGTGTTAGCAGGGATGGATAGATAACTTTGATGGTTCAAAAACAACTAACAAGTAAATTAGATGGTGGTGCATATATTAAATAATTAGCAAAAGAAATTAAATAAGAATTAATAATCGGGACTGAGCACTAGGAATTTTATTTTGACGTCCATAACTATAGCTGTACGATGTTGACACTTTGTCTCTCTGCTTCATGTAGCTGTTGGATGAGCTCCCCATGATTTACAGCTGCTGTATATTTGTGTACTGCATGTGAGTACTTACATTTAAAATTCAATTCAGTGTGGGTTTTGGTCTAATTACATTACTAGGATATGTAATGTAAAAGATTTAAAAAAAATTGTGACATTAGTGGAGAGTTTAGTTTCTGGGAAGCTACAGTAATCTCAGAACCCTAATGCCAGTTTGGATAGTATCCTAATTTGACTTAAATAGGCATTGTGCCTTCTCTTGAGTGAAGAATGTGTTCAAATTGTGCCATAAAAGTTTTGGAGCAGTTTCTCTATACTGTAGTATGAGTGGTTTCTTTTTTAGTTACTGCATTTTAAAAATATAATTTTTATTTTATGTGTGTGAGCATCTTGCCTGCATGTATGTCTGTACACCATGTGTATGAGAAGGCCAGAAGAGGGGATTGGATCCTCTGGAACTGGAGCTATGAAGGGTTGTGAGCCAGCACGCACGTGCTAGGGACTGGATCCAGGTTTTCTGCAGGAGTAACGAGCCCTCTTAGCGGCTGAGCCAGCACCAGTTTCCTTTGTTGTTGTTGTTGTTGTTGTTGTTGTTGGTGGTGGTGGTGGTGGTGGTGGTGGTGTGTGTGTGTGTGCGTGCGTGCGTGCGTGCGTGCGTGCGTGCGTGCGTGCGTGTGCGTGTACCACATTGTACATACCGGGGTCAGAAGTGAGTTCTCCTCCCAGCCTGGTATACTGAGACTGAACGTTGTCTTCAGGCTTGAACTGTAATTGCTTTAACCTGCTGAACCATTCATTTCATTAGCTCACGAACTATTTCTTGATAAGAGCTTAGCTGAAAAGTGAAGTACACTCATAGTTCTTAGTTGTTTGAGAATTCCATGCACTATATTTTGATCATCTTTTCCCTCTCTCTGACCTCCTCCCAGATCTATCCTATCTCCCTAACTACCCAATTTCATGTTCTATTTTGTTATTGTTTATATTATTGTTGTTGTTGTTGTTATTATTTTAACCTGTCAGGTCCACTTGTGTTGATCAGCTACTCTTGGATGTGGGGCTTTCTCTTAGAGAGTGTAGGTGACTCACCAGTGGCCATACCATTAAAGAATCCAGACTGTCTCTTTCCCAGCAACTCTCAAGTGTTGTTAGCTCCTCAGCCACGACAGGGCTTTGTGCTGCCCGCCCCTCCCCCCACGATCTCCAGATTTCCTCTGATGACGACAGCAGGTACTGAGCTGGTTTTATACACAAGAAAGTAAAGCACAAGAAAGTTAGCTCAGGGATCTGAGCGTGTCTTCATTAATAAGCATGTCAGACATACATTATATTATACAGGTTAACAGTCTCCGAGGACACTCAAATATCCCTGGAAATGGCCCATGATGGAAAATCACAAGGGTCATCATCTCTCTGACCCTGAATGGTTTTTGTTTGTTTATTTTTGAATTGGTTTTAGGATGCTCTTTGCCCATATCAAGTATGCAAAGCAGTCTAGACCTCCAGCTGTTTCTAAACCTGCGTGCCTTGTGTGCTTGCATCTGTGAAGCATGTGCTGGAAAGCCTGCATGGTAAACATGGAAGGAGAAAGCAAAAGAGTCGAGTACTAACCCTCTGTGGACAGGGCCAGGCTAAGAAAGTAGTGATAGCCTAGTGGTGATGCCTCCCTATAAGACATGCCTCTTGTAAAGAATCCTTCATCCCTCTCCAGAAGAGGAAAAGAGGAAACACAAGAGCCCCAGTTCCCACATCACGGCATCATGGGTGTGAAGTACCTAGGAGGCTATAACATCATTGTGACCTTTAGTTATCCACAGTCTGTGTGTTTGCTGCTCCACTGTCCTCGGGCAGCCAGTGGAGAACACACCTTACAAAGGGTCGGGCGCTCCTTCTGGAGGAAGTAGTCCCCGAAACAACCACACAGAAACTGTATTAGTTAAATCACTGCTTGGCCCATTAGCTCTAGCTTCTTATTGGCTAACTCTTACATATTAATTTAACCCATTTCTATTAATCTGTGTATTGCCACAAGGCTGTGGCTTACCGGGTAAAGTTCTGGCATCTGTCTCAGGCGACTACATGGCTTCTCACTGACTCTGCCTTCTTTCTCCCAGCATTCAGTTTTGTTTTCCCCACCTAAATAAGCTCTGCCTTGCTATAGGTCCAAAGCAGTTTCTTTATTAATCAATGGAATCACAGCACACAGAAGGGAATCCCACATCAAAGTAGTTCTGAAAGCACCCTGATTCAAGACGAGTGGAAACCATCCAGTAAATCTTGGATATATATAAAAAAGTCAGTGCATAAAATAAAGTGGTAACATTTGTGCGTATGGGTGATTTGCCTGTATGTATGACTTGTGCACCTCATGTGTGCCAGTAGAGGACCGAGAAGGCACTGTATCCCCGGATCTGAGATTGTAGACAATTGTGAGCTGCCATCTGATGCCTTCACACTATCCTTTGAGAACATTTGAAATAAGTTTCTCAGCTGTAGGCAAAGCAAAAAGGAAACTATAATTAATAAATACACTAACTTTTCTATCCAATTATAAAATCATATAATTTAAAAGTAAGATCCTGCTTCATCCTTGTACCATCTTCAGACACCTAAAGCCATAGAATTTAAAGGAGAAGGAGCGTAGAGACCTCCTGTTCCATCTCCTTCTTTGCAGAGGAGATAAGCATGTAATTCAGTTAGTCAATTGAGAATGCACTGCTAGCTGTCTGTCCTAACGCAGTCCTCCAAGGCTGAGTGCTCACTGCTGGCCTGCTGTCCCTGCCCCCCCATACTATCTCCTGTGCATTGGGCACTGACCTAGTAATTGTCTGCAAATATAGTAAGATTTCATCACTGTACACAAAGAATTCACAGTCTAGTTGAGGAGACACATAGGAAAACTAAGTATAATGCAATGCCTTTTTCTCTTCCTCCTCCTCTTCTCAACAGAATTTCCCTCTGCAGCCCAGGGCCGTCCTCCAGTCCCGGCCTCCTGAGGGCTGGGTAGCAAGTGTGAGCTACCATGCCTCGCAGCACAGTGATCTCAGTAGCTGCGTTCAGAGAGAGCATTGTTGTAAGATAACAAATACACAGAGCTACTGGAGTTAGAGAGACTTCCCTTTTGTGAGGACCGAGGAAACTGTGACCCCGTAGAGGGGAGTCCAGCCTTGCTCACTAGAACTGGAAAGGACTGTCTGTGCCTCCGTCTTCCTCTTCCCTATCTCTCCGCATGGCTTCAAGTCTTTCTACCTACTTTATTTTTCTTTTCATCCAGGTTCTTTCTCCGCTCACTCACCCCTTTGTTTGCTCACCTCGCTGCCTCCAGATATCAGCTGTAGACTATCTGATACCGTATTTTGACTCCCTTTACTTAATTGACTTTGTTGTCTCCCCAACTTCATCCTTGCAGGAGAGAGAACTTTATTGTGTCAGCCGATGTTACGCTACTCCCACTGCTCCCGCCAGCCTCTTGTAGCCTGTGTCCAGTCCAGTGTTGTAACCCAGAGGGTGGGGGTGGAGACGGGGAGTGCTGCTGGGGCACAAGAGCTGTTCCTGGTGATGCCTTGTGAAGTGAATTTCTTTCTCTCTTATTTTAAAGGTTTGAATGTTTCAAGACAAAGAACTCAATAAACTACCATCTGCTTTTTACCCTAGTCCTATTCAGTTTAATAGTAACCACGGTAAGTCATACTTTATCTCCAGTAAAGTGTGCTGTGTAGGAGATTGGAGTGATCAGCTTCCAGTTTTTGCATAAAGCTATGCAGACTGAGGTGTTTTTATGCCATTGGGATGCCTTATTTTTAGACTTCGCACCTTTATTTCCTTTTCAAAAATTACTTTTAATTGAAAAAGCTTTGGAAAGTTTTTGAGGCCATCCCGAGCCACATCATGTGTTCTAGGCCAGCTTCAGCTGTCGGACTTTGTCTCAGCATGCCCCCACTTCCTTCATAACTTTAATTAAAAAAATACTGCTTGATGAGGATCACGTGGTTTGAGGCCATCCTGGGCTACGTAATGTTTTGTTCTGAGCTCAGAACTTAGAAAACAAAAGCAAAGATTACCACTTGAACCAGGCATGTTGGCTTGAGGCTGTCCTGGGCTACATCGAAAGATTGCGTCTGAGGAAGGAAAACAGAAGCAGAGAAAAATATCATTTGAGTCAGTCAGGGTAAGCTTCAGAGGAGATTCTCTAAGTTAGATGGTAACTGATGAGCGGGGGTTTTCAGACCTCTGGGCAACAGTGTGGCAAAACATTTATTCTTCTGTATTTCCATACACACAGACCTTAGAGTAGCATAGTGAATTGCTCTTTTTTGAAAATTACTATGTGCCAGATGTTTACTGAATACTTTGCCTTGATTGTCCAATTAAGTTATCATGGGTACGATTGAGAGAGGTTTTATATATGTGATTGCCTTATGGTAGGGGAAGTAGTAAATGGGTTTAGTGAGTGAGTCAGTATGTCAGGGGACAAAGTCCCATATGTGCTATGCTTAAGAGTTTAAATTTGTTCTCTAAGTTGTATTGATCCATAAAGTAGAAAAATGTAATCAGACAAGTTTTAGAAAAATTCTGTGTTACAGGAGATAGATTAAAGGAGTCTGGAGATTAAATGCAGGAACTTTTCATACTTCATAAAATTTGGGACTAAGATTGAAGCACTGTAGCTGTGGTGAGGATGCAAAGAAGCGGCCGTGCATAGTCGGGACGTGTGGCCTGTTGACTAGAGAGGGCAGAAGTGGAACAAAGACAGAATGGTGCAGAATGCTACCTGTTAGCCATGTAAGGCATGGCATCCCAAGTTTGATGTAACATAAACTACACAGCAAGACCTTCTTTTAAAATTAAAACATGGAGCCAGCATGTTGGAACAAGCCTATAATCCCAGCACTCAGGAGGCAAAGGCAGGAGGATCATGAGTTAAAGGCCTTTTTTTTTTCTATATAGCAAATTCAAGGCCAGGCTACATAAGTCTTAAAATATAAAAATTAAATTTCTGGATGGTGGTGGCATACAACTTTAATCCCAGCAGTCAGGAGGCAGAGGCAGGCACATCTCTGAGTTCAAGGTCAGCCTAGTCTACAGAGCAAGTTCCAGGACAGTCAGGGCTACACAGAGAAACCTTGTCTCAAAAAAAAAAAAAACAAAAAACAAAAAACAAAACCAAAAAAATTAAGTTAAAATTAAAAGCTAAAAATACATATAAGACAATAAGATTGTAGTTGCAGTTCATCTGGTAAAGTGCTTGCCTAGTGTACAGAAAGCTCTAGATTCCGTCCTCAGCGCTGAGTAAAATCAAGTGTCTTGGTGAATGTCTGCATTCCCAAAACCTATGCTAAAACCAAGTGTCTTGGTGAATATCTGTGTTCCTAAAACCTAGGCTGGACAGGTGAAGGCAGGAGGATCAGAAGTTTGAGGTCATCTTTAATAATGTAATCAGTTTAAGACCAACCTGGACTATGTGTTTTTAAAAAATAAATAAATAAACTGGACCAGCAAAATGGCTCAGTGGGTAAATGATCCTGCTACTAAGCCTGAAAATCTAAGTTTGATAATTGGAACCTAACAGTTGTGGGAAAGAACTGATAGCTGCAAGGTGTCCTCTGATTTGCAGATTGAACTATGAACATCTTGTTCAGAAAAGATAGTTAGTAAGCGTATGCTGTGATGTAGGAAGAAATAAACCTGGTTTATGATATGTTGAGTTTGAAGTATCCAGTATTAGCGAAACTGGAGGCTTAACAGGTAGGCTGGACTAAAGGTACAGATTTGGGAGTTGGTTGGGATATAGGTTGTATCAGAAATACGGAGACCCTTGAACTGGTACCAAAGTAAAACACACCGTTAAGACTAAAAATATAAATCAGACATTTGAGGACCATGGAGAATTATAGCCAGCAAAGACTAGACCCATTGGTAGGCTAAGAGATGTTATAATGAGAAGCAAATCAAGCTTTGACATCAGTTGGGTGAGTTTGGATCTGATGTTTTCTCTCAGTGCTCACTCAGCTTTGGTTTTTCTCATGATAAAGTGAAGATAAAATAGAACATCTTTACACTGGCTAGAGTATTACTGTCTGCACATAATAAGGATTCCATAATTCTTGGCCTAAAAAACAGTGTTGAAGACACATATCCTTAAACCTGGCCTATTGGTGCACACCTATAATCCCTGCACTCAAGAGATCGAGGCAGGAGGATTGTGAGTCCAAGGCTAACCTAAGATACATAATGAGTTCCAGTTAGTATTTTGAAGGAAAGACACAAATTAGACACATTCCCTTTATTAAATTTATAGTTAACAGGAAATGTTTCAGTCAAAATAATTGTAGTCTTTTTATAGTAAAAAAAACTTTTAGAAATAAATTTTTAGGTAAGCTTTAAAACTATGTGCAGTTTCATTAGATTATTACATTAAATGAAGATGTAAAGATGTCTAAGCTCAGTTCTAGACAGCAAGGAGGTTATCAGCCTGCAGGGAAAGTAGCAAACCAGTAGAATAGTAGAATGTGTAGGTGGCGGTTCTCAGCTGAGGGTCGTGACCCCACATATCTGACATTCTGCGTAGTAGATACTTCTATTACAATTATGTCAGTACCAAGATTGCAGTTCTGGAGTAGCAACTAAAGAGTTTTCTGTTGGTGGTCACCACAGCATGAGGAGCTGTGTTGAGGGTCGCAGCGTTAGGTCGCTGCCGTAGAGCTTAGAGGTAGGTGGTGAGTGGTGGCTGCTGTTGGAAGTGGAAGAGATCAGAAAAGACTTGAAGGAGGAATAATCTGTGTTGAATTTTCAAAAGTACTTGTGAGTTGTGGAGGATTTCTGAACGGTGAAGAGCAGTGTGTTTGCAGATGCAGAAGGCTGAAAGTGAGTACACATCAAAGCAACACTGGGCTCTGGAGCCCAGAGGGAGGCCCGGCAAGGAGACAGGAACTGGAACTTGGTTGTGGTGGGGCAAGGGTCAAGGATTGTTTGAGTTTTGATTCCTTTGTACTGTGTCGTTTAAAAGCATGCTCTGTAGACAATATGTGCATATTAAATCTTGCAAAGGCATTGAACTTAACACCCACAAGACTTGGGAGCCTGAAACTTGGGCTTGTGTTACTGAAGGTGTATCTAGGTAGTGAATAGTTTGGAAGCAGGAATGGGTACAAGGAATTTGTTTAAATGGCTTCACTTACTGATAATCTAGTATGTCTAGATCCTTGCCCATACTCTAGCTTAGTATTCTCCATGCTGCAGTCTTCCATTCTTCAGGTAAGCACCAAGGCTTTTAAGTTAAGTGACAGTTGCTGAGACCCTGGAACAAGTAAGTGAAGAGCTAGAAATTTGACTTTGATCCCTGACTACAGTATTCTTTCTGCTGGCACAGAGACTGTCGGCGTAATTTGTTTACCCTTGTCAATAGCCTTGTATCCTCGACCCTCCTTGGTGGTGACCTAAAGACCAGTGCTGATGTAGTCCACCTCTGATTGAAATAGTTATTTCATTGCCCATGGCTGGGCTGGTTTGGGAGAAGCTGTCTGTAGGTGCTCGCCCTCCTGTGCCCATGCCGCCTCATCTGATTGGTTTTATGTAGCTGGGGTCTGGTTGGAATAACATGGGGAAGGAGAGGGCTGGGGTCTGAAGAGTGGTTGGAACAGGTTTATATTCCTTCTTTCACTTATGTTTCTAATAATATTTTTCAGATTTACCTAAAAGTAAAAGAGCCTATATTCCATCAGGTAATATTTTAAAAAGATTTATTTAGTTCATGTTATTTATATGAGTGTTTGCTTGCATGTATGTCTGTGTACCATATGCTTGCTTGGGGCCTGTGAGGATCAGGAGAAGGTTATGAAGTTATGGTTTTCTTCCCCACATACAGCAATAATGTGCAGTGATAAAAGTGGGAGTAGGCTGGACTACCCATGTCCATGGTGGTTCACACCCTCGGCCCAGAGGTTAACAGTCAGGATAGCTCGGTGTCCGCAGCATGTGCCACACTCGAGTGTGCACACATGCAGACACACAGAGACAAGACAAATGCTTCCAGAGAGTGGAACAGTGATGTTCTTAGCTGGGCATAGAAAATGTGTGTGCCTTCTGCCATACCTCTTCTTACTTATCTGCATCCTTTGTACTGTTTTTTTATAATAAACTACCGAACAGTTGAACAAGCAAGCTGTTTCTCACTGTTGGAGTAAGTTACAAATAAAGAAAGAGATGTTTGGGCTTGGTGGTGCATACCTCTAATCCTAGCACTCAGGAGTCTGGAGCAAGAGGAGGTTTTAGAATTGGAGGTCATATTCCTCTTACTGTGTTGCCTTGCACAGCCTTGATACAAGGGGAGGTGCTTAGTCCTACTGCAATTTAATATGCCATGTTTGTTGATACCCTTGGGAAGCCTACTTATTTCAGAACTGAAACAGGAGGAATGAATTTGGGGAGGGGGAAGCAAATGTGGTCAGGATGTAAAATAAACAAAGTTAACTTAAAGAACTTTGGAGCAATAATAATTAAAAAAGAACTCGAGGTCAATATTAATATGAACTCGTGGCTTAGGTACCATATTTAGAAAAGTCTACAGTGAACTCAGTGTCCCCAGTGATAGGTGTCAAATGGTGTCACACTTCTCCTGATGTAGCTCACTGAGGGCACTGCATCATTTTAGTAAATCACAGGACATGTAAAACAAACCCAAACTTAAGGAAATTCCCCAAAGTAACTTGACTGTAACTTTTAAAATTATCAAAGTCATAGGCCAGAGAGTATGTGCCTATAATCCCAGAACTCCGGAGGCTAAGGAGTATTGTAAATTCAAGCCAACGTAGGCCATGTAACAAGATTCTGTGGGCCACAAAAGCTAAATTCATCAAACACAAGTAAAGAGTGAGGAGCTAGTCTGGAAAAAAAAAAGACTTCAGAGAATATCCTGGCTTGATCCTGTTGCTGCAATAAACACCATGACCATAAGAAACTTAAGAGAAAAGGTTTATTTCATCTTGACATTTACAGTCCATCATTTAGGAAAGTCAAGGTAGGATCTCAAACAGGAACCTGGAGGTAGGTACGTAAGCTGAGAGTGTAAGATTTACTAACTTCCTCCTCGTGGATTGCTCAGCTTGCTTTTTTTTTTCTAAGAGATTATAATCTAAGACAGGTGGTGGTGATGCATGCTTTTCCCATGCACTTAGGAGGCAGAGGCAGGCAAATCTTAGAGTTTGAGGTCAGTGTAGTCTACAGATCGAGTTTCAGGACAGCCAGGACCACAGAGAAACCCAGTCACAACAAACAAACAAGTAAAGAACGAGAGCAGGTCTAATTTAATTCCCTTTCCTTCAGACTCTCTCATATTCTCCTCCCATTCTCCTTCAAATTCATGGCCTCTTTTTACAAAGAAAAAAGAAAAGAAAGGAAGGAAGAAGGAAAGACTAATTGTCACTTCATGCATATAGGCATACGTGTATACAATTATATTCCTAAATATAACGTATTCAGTCCATATATTGCTCCCTGTATATATGTTTTCAGAGTGATCATTTGGCACTGGACAAGCTCTTCCTTGGGCACGCTGCTTCTCTCATTCCCAACTTCCCTTGGTTACCTGTGTTTTTTGTGTAAGTTTGAGGCCTCGTGGGCTTTTTTCCGTCCAGTTTGGCATGTGCATTGCTGCCATCCTGGTCTAGCTCATATTTGGACAGTCATGCTGGTGAGACTTTATGGGTGTAGCTTCTGATATTACTAGGAGAGACAGTCTCACAGCAAACTCCCTGGCTTTCTGGCTCTTACAGTCTTTCCATCTCTTGTGCACTATTTCCTGAGCCTTAGGTGTGGGAATTGTTTTGTAGATGTATCCATTGGGACTAGAATCCACAACTCTGCCTTTTTGATTGGCTGTGCTTATTGGAGGAGAATCTACAACCACTGCCTTACTCACAGCATAATCCCTAACGGCAATCTATGAACATTTATTTTTATACTCACAGGTAAGTGTAGTATTCACCCCTCATGAAGGAGCCTTCTCTTTGCAACAGATGGAGACTACTACAGAAAACCTCAGTTTGCTTTTTACTATAACTCAGGACCATTTGCTCATGGGTTGCTCCACCCACAGTGGACTAGGCTCCTACATCAATCTTTAATCAAGAAAATGCCCTCTGGACTTACCTACAGGTCAATCTTATAGAGGCATTTTCTCAGTTGAGGTTCTGTCTTCCCAGATGACTCCAGCTTATGTCAAGTTGACAAAAAAATAAGCCAGCACAATTGAGAGGTGTGATAACTGAATGCAACTTCCATGTCCTGTGTAATATTTTGTTTGTTTTGTTTTGTTTGAGACAGGGTCTTATAATGCAGTGCTAGCTCACCTGGGACTCACTGTGTAGACCAGGCTGGCCTCTGCCTCCTGAGTGCTGAGATTACAGGCATCAGCAACCATGCCTGGTTTATTTGGGTTTGAGTTTTGCCGAATATTAGGACAACTGTATCTTTTGATTAAGGCTGTTTAGTGTCATATCATGTTATTGTAGTTCCCTGTGTTTGTAGTTTGGATATATAATAAAATATAGATAAGTGTAGATAAGATAGTTATAGATAAGTAATTAGAGAGGGGAGTTGGGAGGAAGGGAGAAACAGACAGAGAGAAATAATGAGGCAAAATGTTGACTATTGCAGAGTCTGGGAACAGCTGTACTGAGTGGGATTTATCCTCCTCTATTCTGTAACATTTGTTCTCACTTCCTGTTCTGGGTTGTGGTCCATTTAGAGAGGGTCTCACTGCATAGCTCAAGTCGTCTTCAAACTGGAGAAACTTCTAGCTCAGCCTTCCAGATGAAGGGAGTAGATGTGTACACCACACCCGTCTGTTTTCATTCTTCTAATGGTGTCTTCTGGTGAATCTGATGTCTTAATTTTAAGATGAATGGTTAATAGGGCTGGAGTGAGAGTCCACTCTAGAATGTCTGCCTAGCGGTCAGAAGGCCTTGGGTTCAGTCCCTAGCACACGAATGAGCAGAGAACAATGACCAAGTTGTCTGGTCTCTCGATGGTGACACAACTGTCCATCATTTGAAAACAGCAGTCGTAGCTAAAGAAACTCTCACAGCTTGGAAATTTAAGAGTCTTAGTTTCTTGACACTTGATAAGTCATACAGAAATCTCTTCGGTCTTTAATCTTTTAATTTCTCGATTTATAAAAATAGTGGAAATGGACCAGCAAAATGGTTCATCAGGTAAACACTCTTGAATTCAATCCCTGGGTCTCATGATAAAGGCACCTCTGCTCACCTGCATCTCACACACACACACCCAATGACAATAAATTAAAAGCATTTTAAAGTGTTGAAAAGAAGCAAATGTATCATTTTTAAGTGTCATGTGAAAATGATGTAGTTGTATATAGCAAGCTTAATAGTCAGTTTGATGCTAACCCTGCACAGGGCTAGAGAGAGCTCAGTGGGTAAGAACAACGGCTGCTCTGATGGAGAACTGGGGTGCAGTAGTTCCCAGCACCCACATGGCAGTCAGAACCGTCTGTGACTCCAGTGCCAGGCAATTTGATGCCCTCTTCTGGCTGTGCAGACACCAGGCATGCACATAATACACATGCATGCAAGACAACCATGCGTATTCATAAAAATAAAGGAATATGTTACAAACTATGTATTAAGATGTCAAATCACATACAAATTCCTGCCCATGATAGTTGGTGAAAAACTTTTAAAAGATATTTGACTTAGCTCTAGGATAAGTAACACTATGAAACTAAAAGGAAAGGGTTAATAAACGCCAAAGGTGTCTGCTAGACAGATTCAATTTCCTGAGAAGGAAAGTACAATTCTCACTCACAATTAAGTCCAAGGTGACCCAGAAATCTCCAAATGAGAGCCCACATTTGATGGTCTTTCAAAATGAGGTAATACCCTAATTACATAACTGCCACATTAGATATACCAGCTTAGCTTAAAGCAAAGGAGCAAGAAGAAAAGCATACATAAGAGTAGATAAAAAAGAAAGCCTAAGACGCCAGTGAAGTCTTTTAGCAGCAAAGTGATATCTCTGAGAGAGACCTGCTGTCTCAAGGAGCCCTGTTACTAGATTTTCCTGACAGATTTCCACTACAGATGACTCCCAGGTATGGTCCATCAGTGCGTGGAATCTTGTCTTTTCTCACTTGACCCTCAGGCTTTGTAAAAACACACTGGAAACATTGTGAAAAGCAAGACTAAGCATTTTGAGTTAAATTTTTTCTATTATGCTTCTTTATACATTTTATTACTAATTAGGACTGTAAAGAAGATAAACACATTTGGAAATATAACTAGTAATTTTGATCTATTATATGCTACATTGTATATAAATATACACACATGTAGTATGGCTGTCTGTTCATGCATATTATACAGATTGGATTAACCAGTATCATACTAAAATATCTTTCTTTATAAATGAAATGAGTGAGAGTTTGAAAGGATAAATGATTGGTCTGCTTTTCCTCTTCTGATTATTGGCAAAACTAGAAAAAAAAGTTTTGTTTTTTTTTATTTCACAACCTATATTATTATGTGATACTCTGGTGTCCAGTTACTTTGGAATCTTTTATTATGAGAAAGATCAGTGTTGTGTGTTGGTGACTGACTTCGAGGTAGGGTCTAGCAACGTAGTCCAGGCTATCCCTAACTAATGACCTCCTGCCTGAGCCTCCTGCGTGATGGGATGCTCAGTAATGGAAGGGGTGCCACCGCACCTGACTCTTCGTCTTTTTAAAGCTGACTTTAAATTGGATGTGGTAACACACAGCTATAATCCCAGCACCTGTGAGACTAAGGCAGGAGCATCCAGAATTCCAGGCCAGTCTAGTTTACAAGTAAGACTTTGTGTGAAATAAAAGAAAATGGGAGCTAAGGCTATGCTAGCTCAGTGGCAGAACACTTCTCTAGTATGTATGAGGCTCTGGTTCAGTCTTTGTCACCACAGGATGGGTGGATGGATGATGGATGGACGGACAGTGGGTGGGACAGATGGGTAGGTATGAAGGAAGAGTTGTACTGACCACTTTCTCTTTCTCTCCTATTCAGGTCATGTATGGAATGTTGGTCTTTACATTAGTACTCCGTTCTATTTATATTGTCACATGGTAAGTAATTTGGGACTACCACCAACATTCTGACAAAAATATACTCAGGTTTATAACACAGTAAATCTATAGCCTAAATTGGAATACAGTAAAACCTAACTCTAGCAGAACAGTGCTAGGAAACTGTAATCCAACATTTATTTATGACATATACTTATTAATGTGCATCATATAAAAACAAGAGTTCTAAAATTAAAGAAATTTGAAGGAAACTATGTATGAGACATCTGCTTGAATATGTCTATCATTGACTAGGATGTTAAAGACTTGAAAAGTGCTACATTAAAGGAATGTGTTTGTAGGGCTGCAGAGATGGCTCAGAGGTTAAGAGCACTGGCTGTTCTTACAAAGGTCCTGAGTCCAATTCCCAGCAAACACATAGTGACTCATAGCCATTTATAATGAGATCTTTTGCCCTCTTCTGGCATGCAGGTATATATGCAGATAGAGGTCTTATATACATAAAATACATTCTTTTAAAGAATTAAAATTTAAAAAGTAAAATGTTTTTGTTGCTCAAACTTGCATGACTAGGTTAAATAACTATGCAGTCAAGGTGTTTTCCTAATGATGGGAAGGATAGAATATAGGACATATAAACTAGACTACACACCACACTGGCCTGATCTTAATAAAGATGTGTGAAGGTAACCTAATAGAAATGATCCTCTTCTCAACAGTTGTACTAATTCTTTTGTTAATTAGTCTCACTTGGTATCTAGCCCAGACTGACCTCAAATTTATGAACCTTTTGCCTTAGCCAGGTGTGGGGGTTGCAGGTGTCCTATAGTTAAAGACAGCTGTCAGCCACATACCCTTACAGTCCTGAACATGGGAAGGTATAGGTAGAACACGGAAAGTGCTCTACCTGTGTACTGTGTTCTCAGTCCCTTATAAAAATGTAACCGGTGAGTCATCTCTAAATGTAAAAACTAAAATTATTGAAATTACAGTAGAAGTCTTTGCAAGCTTTAATTTATGTAACATGAGGGCCTGCTAGGTTTCTGTCCTGCCCAGTTCCCACAGTCTTTAGGTCCCAAAGAAAATCACACAGAGGTTTCCATAAGTTACAAACTGATTGGCCAATTAGCTCAGGCTTCTTGTTAACTCTCATAACTTATATTAACCTATTATTCTAGTATATGTTAGCCACATGGCTCAGTACATTTTTCAGCAGGGCAGGTCACATCCTGCTTCTTCCGTGGTCTGGGTAGGACTGCAGAGGGAGCTTCCTTCTTCCCAGAATACTCCTGTTATCATTTCCCTGCCTCTACTTCCTGTCTGACTGACTGCTGGCCAATCAGCATTTATTTAAAATGTAATTGACAGAATACAGAATTGTCCCCCACCAAATTTAGGCAAGAATTTATTAGGACACAAACTATAAGGAAAAAATTCAAGTATGATGTTAATTAAAATTAGCAAACTTTTGCCAGACCTGGTGGCATGAGCCAGAAACGAAGCGGGGGCTCAAGGCCATCCTAGGCGGCCATAGCAAGGCCATCCTAGGCGGCCATA